ATGCTTCTCTTTTTTTTAGTCAGTTTAATGAGAACTGTTCTGGACTGTTTTCTGATATTAGTATTTCATGACCAGGGGTAGGTTCCCAGCAGTACAAGAAATGGGAACAAAACCATGCACTTTTTAAATTAAATCAATTAAGCAGTTTTTCCATTCTGTTAAAAATGTTATTTCTGCATTCACTAGTCATTCATGGGTATTAATAGTACATTAAACAGTGTTTACTGTAAAGCTCTTTGCATTTTATGTCTTCATGTGCATGTAGTTCTGTCAATAAAAACATCAGTCAACCCCGTCTACTCTGTATCCCGAACAAAGGGCTATTAATGATATTTTTCAAATTCAAAGCAAAAAACAAAACAAAACACACAAAAAAGTTGTGCTTCGCTTACCTAAATGTAATTAAATGTTTGGTATATAATACAAAGTTCAGAAAATACTATCTGAAGACTCAAGAGCACCATCAGCACACATCATGCCTGTACCCCAAAATTAAGTTTGTTTTTCTTCTACTAGCCTGAGGCTACTTTACTCAGCTGTATGAATTAATTCTTGCACTTTTTTCTCTTATTAAACACACATATATTCAAGTCTAGCCTCTTCTGTGAATAGAACTTTTCTTGATTACTATCACTGTTTCATTTCATTGCTTGTCTTTTAAGTTATAATTTCCTTATTTCACAATGTTTTAACTACATTGGCTGCAACTGTTAACAGAATAACAAGTGATTTTGGGGGCCAACTAGGAAGGCTTTAAAAAGATTTGATTAGGCAATTCATTTTACTAATGTTACAATATCTTCACTTGATTATTTTAAATGAGTGTGCATATCCACTTTGGCAAAATACTGAGAAGTTTAATCATCTCTCCTAAATAACAAGCTTTCACTGGCAGAAACACATGGGCTAAGGAATACAAACAGGATTCAGGAAAACAAATGCCATGTTTACCCAGCAAAATTTACCACAATACCTTTCCTGGGGTGAGGTTCAAACCACCATCCTGAAACCAAAGTGATTTAATTCCTGAACAGCATCAGAGACGAACACAGATCCATGGATCCGCTTTCTCCCATCCCCACTTTCAGCTACTCCTGCTCAGTAGCTGCTCCAATAAGATGGCTTCCCAAGGGCTTCTGAACTCCCTGATCCAGAACTAGGAGAAATATTGTAAGGTCTCAGACACAGCAAGAACTACAACTACAGTTAGCAGTAATGCAGTGAAACCTGTCATTAAAGCATCTACTCCATTGTCTCTGTCAAATTCCAAGCTGAATTCCAGCCTCCTAATCAGAAATACTCCCAACCCCACTCCTTTTTATGTAATGACCTTTAATGTACAGACCACTTTGAAGTCTTCATCTTTCTCAACCCTACATTTTCTTATGTCTTAGATGGGAGATGGATCCATCTCCTCTGAGAGAGAATAGATGTATTTTGATTTGATTCCATTTGCAAAGTAGGCTAAGACTGAGACATAAGGTAACCTCAAGTCTAGAAGAGGTCCTTAATTATGGCTGAAATTAAAGAGGGTAAGAGATAGGAATTTTACAAGTTCCAAATCCCCGTCAGGGGAATTTGCACAAACTTCCAAAAAACCACAAACAATTTTGTTTTGAACGCTTGCTGGGATGGATCATCCGTAACTTCTCTAGGCAACTGTCCCAGTGCCTCACCACCCTCAAAGCAGAGTTTCTTTCCTGTCTTTGCTCACCTAAACTTGCCCTCTCTCAGTTTGAAGCCTATCACTCCATGCCCTTGTAGAGAGCTCCTCACCGGTTCTCTTGTAGCACCTTTAGATATTGGAAGGTGCTCCAAGGTCCTCCAGAGCATTTTCTTCTCCTGGCTGAACAACTCTTTCACTCTATTTTCATGGGAGAGGTGCTCCACCCCTCTGAGCATCTTTGTGGCTCCTCTGGACTTGCTCCAGTGGGACTACACCGACATTGCGCTGAGCTCCCGAGAGCTGGATGCCGACATCCAGATGTGGTCTCACCAAAGCAGAGCAGTGGTGTAGAACCAACCACCTTTACCTGCTGGTCATGCTTTTGATGCACCCCAGGATATGGTTGTATTTCTGGGCTGGAAATACACACTGTCAGACCACGTTAAGTTTTTTGTCAACCAACAACTGCATATCATTCTTCTCAGAGCTGCTGCCCATTGTCTGTATACACAGCCTGTACTTGTGCCTGGGATTGCCCTGACCCATGTGCAAGGCCTTGCACTTGTGGAATTTTATGGGGTCCATTTCTCTTCTGCAGGCCCACTTCTCAAAATTCCTCTGGCTGACATCCCTTCCTATCAGTATGCCCGTTGGCAAACTTGCTGAAGGCGCACTCAAACTCATTGTCCATGTCACCAACAAGATGCCAGAAGTTATTAAACTATGACATAACCATGTAACCGAATTCTTGAGACATGGGTGAAAGACCCGGGAGGTAGGACCCACAAAGTACCTTTTGCCACAAGAACAGACAGTGGATTTATTATGGGTTGCTTTTTCTGTATTGTTCTCATGCTCTCAACATTTAATTATTAAAGTGTATTCATTCCTTTTTGTAATCAAGTAAGAAATGAATCAATTATGGAAAACATTTTAATTAATTAGTAATTCTTTAATCAAAAGCATTAACAACTCTATCTGGAAGTAAAAGTAATTTTTCCAGTTTGATGGTCATTTATTCTGTCTCTAGTGATTTTAAGGGAAAAGCAAGCAAGAGACGTGAGATGATCTACAGTAGGAACTGCTCACCAAGTAGGACTGCCTCTAAAACCCAGCATACTGAATGGCTGAATATCAGACCCTTTTTGGAAAAGCTGGCTCAAGACATGTCACCATGAGGCAGTTATTTCTGAACTTATTTTCATTGTAAACAGAGATAAAAGATGGGCTTCCAAGCATAGAAGTGAATCTTTCTACTGCAAAGGGTGCATTTTAAAAGATCTGTCATTGTTCTGATTGCTGTCATTGTCATTCATTGAAATACCAAGGGCAATGCTGGGAGGATTTGAGTGTGGGCTCACTCTTTCAGTACTGCAGTTCTCAAGAGTGAAATAAAATCTCTCACATTAAACAATAATGCCCCTACATCTAGAAATAATTAATAAATTTATTACATATTACTCTAATGCAGGTTTATACCATTGCTCATATAAAGACACTGCACAAATTATTGACTTGGTTCTCTGTAAATGTCTTACAGCTGTTTATGTAAGAGACTATGATAAGAAATGTAAGAAAAAACATGTGAGCAAGCTGATAATTCAGGAGCAGTCACATGAAGTTACACTATTTCAAACTATATATTACAAAGAACTAGCCTGGATATAGTTATCTTACATTAAATCATTATCAAAAATCTCTATTGAGAACATCTATGACATTAGTGATTTTAATTTATATCAATATATGCACTAAATACAAATACCCAACTTTTACTGGCTGAAATCCTATCCCATTTAAATTAATTCTTCTATCACTTCAGTGATAGAAGCTGAGGAAATCATTAAGTGGTGCAGAAACATTAAGGCCACTGTAACCCATCTTCAACAGAAATGTAAAATCAAGACTTATTATTTACAGCTCTAATGAAGCATCATTGGTTTTCAAGTAACACCTAGGATTTGTTTTATAGAATACCTTTTAGCTTATTTATATTAGGTAAATACAAATAAAGGGAAGAGATGCTATCATGGATTATTTTCAATGTTGGCCAGTGTACAGTAAATACTGACCATTTGCTAACCAAGTCCTTATTTAACTGACTAAAATTACCACTATAACATGGAGTCTTTCACAAGAGCAACACAGATGTCAGAGATTAGAATACTGTTTTAAAGAATTCTACTCCTGAACAATATTTTTCTTTTAAACTGCAATAATCTCCCCTAGAAGAGCAAGAAGGTGCTGAATGAATGTTGAATCTATGAAAATTTTAGTAATATATAGTTTTCCAAAGCATGAAAGAACAATGTCAGTTCTATTGCATGTGTCTGTACAGACCTGAGGATCTGCATAGTGAAATCCCAAACCATAGCAGAAATGTAATCAAAATCTCTGGTTGCGTGAGCTCTCAAACAAAGTAGTGTTAAATTTTCAAAACCTTAAAAATATCCTGTAGTAAACTCAGTTTCATCTGCAAGGTTAGGTCTCACTAACAACCTCACAAATGCAGACAGATATGAATCTAACTTGTCAAACGAAACACTGCATCCTGAACAGCAAGGTCAAATACTGTTTAAATTAATATTGTATTGGCTGTGTCTTCCTTTGAACTTGGTTTTATATTCTACAGAAATACGCCATCTATGGCTGTTAGGAAATCTGATAATCAAGCATGAAAGTTCAGTAACTGCTTTATGTATTTTAGATTACTTTCCTGCAGATATAGAAGGTTTTCCTTTTACAATGATAACTAAATCTACTTTCTGGAATTATCACACATTTAACTAAAGTCTCTCTATAATTTCACGTGCTCCTTGTAATTTATGATTTAATAATGAAAAAGCATAGTCAAGTATATCTAAAAAAACAGAAAACTCACATAACATTCTTGGATGCTGCAAATCATTTGCTATGTAAACTAGACTTCTGTTGATCAGTATTCAGCATTCAGGAAAGTGGCTCATTTATTTTAACTGTAACTTTCATTAATGTACTTCTTTAAAACCTTGTTGCCAACATATAGTTGGATATTTATTCAAGGACCTATGATAAATTTTTCAGTTCTTGTTACCACTATTATTTTTCTCAGACACCTACATATAATGTCATCAATTACTTAAACAGAAACAAAGACTAGAAAAATTCAAGCAACAAGTAGACAAGATAACTTAAATCCCACACAAAGAAAAAAAAAAGAGTGGGCTGCATAAAATATCAGAAGCCATATGCTTTCAGCCACATCTGGCTGTAGAAAAGTTAAAATGCAGTCAGAACCAAATGCATTTTTAAAGGAACAAGCTGCTTCTGGGTATAAACATGTACACTGACTTACTGCAAACAAATGGATGTACCTGCAGAGACACGGGGACAGTCTGGCAGCATGGACTCCACTGATGTGTCCAGGGGCTCGGAGCTGGACACCCAGTTACAGCAGTTCTGTAAGAGCAGGCAGGCAATTCTGAGTCAAAAACTCAGAGCAAAAATAAATACACATGTTGTAAGTGAGGAAAATGATGACATCAAAATACTCAAACTAATACACAGCAGTCACAATAACAACTGGACAGTACACTACATTAACTTATGCTTACTGATGATGAAATAATGTAATTTCATACTAAGTCAGTAAGAACATAATTCAGCAGATTTGTAATGTGCTGAAGTATCGTGATTTTTAAGTGCTGCTTTCAGTACCCATGGACTTGAGTAGGTGCTTGAACCAACTAGTGCCTGAACTACCCACTACAAGCTTTAAGATTTTCTGAGTTGGTGTTGATATAAACAGGTCTTGGTATAAACACTGAGCCTGTTCATTTGCTAACATTAAGAAATCAGAATTTTTCAGGGTATTTTGATGGAGTACACTGTGGAAGAAACATTCATGAAAATATGAAACAACATACTATAACTAAACAGAAACCATCAAGATAGAATATTAATATTCAAATAATTGGAAATATAGCTGAGATGAACGTGCATGAACATTAAAAAAAGGCAAATACTGGTCTCTGGGGAATTATATTCATAAAGCCTTTACATTTACCTTTCATTCCTGAACCTCTGAGAAGGATGAATTTACCACAAATTTTCTAAATGTTTTGCTCCAAATGCTATCTAATCAGAGTAGTCTATAAACTGAAATATTAAATGACATGCTTTCAATAAAATATAATTAAACTACACCAAATCTACTGAACTGAAGATTTAATTATAAAGCAACTACATTTTTAGTAAGATTACCAGCTGAACAACAAGATCCTTGTTGCTTGCTATGTTAAAAATCTGAGTTTTTCCCTTCTGAAAACCCGATTAACTTCACTAAGTGGAAAAGGTAAAAAAAGCTCATGCAGCCTTTTGGAAAGACCCAATCAATTTTCAGACAGATTTCTAAAAAAATAATACCATAAGCTCATGATAGTAAAAATGGAGAAATTCTCTTCTGGTAAACAGGATGTATTGTGTATTTGTAGATGCTTGCTGCCCTAGTTGTGCACCATGGAGTCCATCCTCACTGTGGAAAGATCCTTGACTGGTAGATCAAGTATCTTATTGTATTTCCTTAATTCATTCTGTCTGGAAGAAGATGTCAGCTGTGTTGCAGTGAGGAGAGAATTTCAAAGGCTTCAGTCCCCACCAATAAAGGGCGAGGAATGGCTTTTGAATAGATTTGTCAAGGCAACCCTACTGTTCTGGGACCAGGGAGAGCAGGGACAACATAAAGGAAGGGTTGCTGTATGAGATTAGAAAGTGAAGTTCACAAAGCATGGCAGATTTTTGTAAGAAACAGTAGATCAATGAAACTATTGAACTCAATGGAAAAAGAAAAAAACAAACACACTATCCAGTAATATAACATATTTAGTAAAACCTGTTAAAATTGAAGTATTTCATGAAGGTTTTAAGGTTTAAAGTGGTAAAGCATTATAATTTTATGATTTGCATGTGTAATTTTAATTAAGAGCTGAATGTGAAATTGCAAATGTAAGGTGGTAGAAGTTACAAAAGAAGTAGAATTTTTATGAAGTATTACAATCATTTGAAATAAGTAAAATTAATATTAACTACTGATAGAACACTACATCAGAGAGCTGGAGATAATACAGAAGATTAGCACAGAATTAACTATCTTTTATACACAATGTGACACTTGCCTGTAAGAAATAAGTATTCTCGAAAGCAGTGTCAAGATAGGTAAATGGATGATTTGTTTTATCATTCATCACGGCTCCTAATAAATTCAAAAATCATGACATCTATAGGTACTAAAAATAGGCCACCAGTGATACAGGAGAGATAGCTCAAATGAAGAATTACTTTATTTTAACAATTCATTCTTTCAATGACAGCAATTAGCCCAACAGACAGGCAGCGATTAGGTGTATATTTTAATTATTATTCATTTTACCACTAGCCTTAAACCTGATTAAAGTAAGAGATATCCAGGTGATATGCTAGACTTAATACCACTCAGCCACACTTCACATATGTAAAATTCTTCTTCCTTATAGGAGATTTTTAATGCTAATGTAAGTTATGACACTCCATCCACTTTTTAGGCCATTAATCATTTAACTTATTCGTTAACATCTACTTTCTGCAAATGAAATTAAAGGTAATGCACTTTTCTTATTCAGACTAAATGCTTGAAGAAAAATGGAGTTGTCAGATTCAAATTACAGGATTTAAAATTTCAGTTTTACTACATAACACATATTTTAAGTTTTGATTTCCCATAAAGAAAATGGGGATTTCTCTGACAGAGCCTGTAGGGGCTACCATTCTTTATATTTTTAACACTTAAGTCAGAGCTGTCAGGCTGCATCCCAGGTGATCCTCTATTCCCATCAGTCACAGCCTACAAAACTTTAAGTTAAAGTCAGGAATAGGCACTGTATACACAAAGTTTCACTAAATCCATGAAAAAAAGTCAAGTATAAAAGAAAGTTCAGGATATGACTAGTTTAAATTAACTCTGTGTACCTATTGTTTTACTGTTCTGCCATGGGAATGCAGAAAACAGAGATGAGCCTGACCTGGGTAAGGACGAGACTCATAAACAGTAAAAAAAAAACAAAAAAAACCCCCTCCAAAAAAAAGCAAAAAAAAAAAAAAAAAACCAAAAAAAAAGAAAAAAAAAGAAAAAAAAAAAGAAAAAAAAAATTGGTCTTGCTCTAAACTACGACTTTTAAAACCTCAGCAACCTTATAAAAAGTGTAAGAGCTTCCGAATCCTACATGTGCAAATCATCAAACTGAGTCATGAAGAGCTCAAAGAGGATTTTCCATCATTGCTAGATCAAACCAGGAGCATGGGGTGTACCCAGAACTTTGCTCCAAGTATCAGACACTGCATGGGCTGCCTTGGCAGGTCTCTGTTTTGCTGAGCATCAGGAAGAAACACTGGACTTGGTGCTTAGTATTTTGACTGCTAACTTGACAGTTCAGAAATGGCTTTAATCTTGGTTATTTTAGTGGCTGGTATTGATACATGATTTCCACTGTTCTATATTATGCTGTGTTTCACACCCAGACTTGTTTATTCAGCCATATACAGATGTACGTACTCAAATCCTTTAAAAAAATAGGTCTTACCTCTCGCATCCACTCTCGAATAGTTTTCCCAACTTCTTGATGCCACACATTGTGAACTGAGTCTGTCAACGCCACAGCAGTTACCCTATTCTTTACTTCTGCCTCTCGTTGAATCATCTGTTAAAAAAGATTGTATTTAAATTAATTCCTTTTACTGAATAGAGTCTGCTTACTCAGAGATAATGGTCTTAAATTTAAAAAGAAACAGCAATACAGCTTCACTACTTGACTTCACTTGTTTAAAAGTTTATTCAATTCCTAACATGTCCAGAAAAAAAACCAGAAACACCTAATATTTTCGATTAAAAAAAAAATACTAACTTTTCACTGACTGAACTATTCAGTCCTATTATTTTCCATGTGGCTTGACAATTCTAGGATTAAAGGTATCATAGTGAAAAAATGGAAGATTCCCTGAGGACACCTTTTACAAGCTTCTCCAAGTCCCTATTTCAGTTCTTCAGGGAAGCTGGTACCTGTGGTTCACTGTAAGGTTCTCATGACTATCATCTACTAATTTTCAGTAGATTGCTGTAGTTTTTCTGATGTACAATCTCACTTCGACTTGTATAGGTTTTTTCTTTTTCTATCCAATTTAGCTATCTTGCACGCTCATCATGGTTCCAAAATTCTTCTCTCTTCTCCCTTATTCATATGCTTACTCAGCTAACACCAAAGCCTCTCAACATTTTTAGGATATTAAAGAGCCTCTGTTGTTGCAAATGACAGTATGACTAAATAATATCAATACTAAAACAAATTAAATGATTGCTGCAAATAACACAAGTGCACTGACAAAGATGCTGTGGAGTTCAGCACTGCTATGCAAGATAAAATGTACTGGGAAAGAATAGCTTGATATCAAAGACAGACAAAAAGGTTTTAATCTCCTGATATGAGTGATCCTAATTTGTAACACTGGATCAAAGAAAGCACAATAAATTGTACTTACAAAACCAGCATTTCATAATTGGTATCATTATCGTTGTGTATGCTGCAATAAAGTTAATGGCTTTTTAAGCTTCCTTTTTGTATAAATGTAACACATACCACATTTCTAAAATCAAGTATTCTTTCTTCATGCTCTAGTAACTGCTCATCAGCACACAGGCTGCACCTCTGAACCCACTGTTCCATGTCCTTGCCATAAGAATGACTCCAAAAACCTCCTAGAAAAAAAGTTTTTTGAAAGAGACAGTATCTAAAAACAATACCTGTCAACTACACACACTTAACTTGCTTTAAACCCTGTTGTACACTGAATAACTGTTTTAAACACACCTTATAATATTCCTGTTCCAGTGCTGTGCATTCTAGCACTCATTCAGCTGCACTATCTTCCACAAAACACTGTGATTAAACAGGCAAAGGTGTAAAAATATCACTGTCCTTGAAGCCCACATACCTACCAATTACTCAGAGTTATTACATGCTGGGTGAAGTTTAAAATCATCACCAGCTCAGAGTATTCCAGCATGACTTCCTCCATGAAGGGCTGGTATTCAGAAGCACTTCTAATGACCAGCAAAGATAAAAAATATGCTCTGCTTTGGAAAAGCAGTTTTTTCTCAAGCTACTCTGTCCCATGTTTCTTTTTTGAAAACTATCTAACCAGTTCATCTTAGAACATCACCTTTTTCTTCAAATCACAAGAAAATGCAAAGGTGCAATTCCCTTTTTTTTTCCAGACCTAGCTCAGGTTTGCTATTCTCAATTTCCCTATGCACATGTAAGAACTGGCAGTCATTGATCACCATTTCTTTCTAATCTTTCTTCATATAGTACATACAGTCATTGCTTTTCAGATCATGTATGGTATATAGGAAATAATATGCAATACCCAACATGCTCCTGGTGCTTGCCATTCAGCTTTGTGGATGCCTGTAGAATCACATTCTCTTCACAAAGATCAGCAAAGTGACTGAGGCTGACAATGTGATGTTTTTTGATAACTCAGCCATAGTGCTAGGGTTAGGATAGGGTCTCACAGATGCAGAAGCAAAGAGGGATCAAAGGAATTAACTGAGCTTCATGTACAGATTTCTTAACATCCAGCCCAGAAGAAAAAAGTTTTGGTAGGCATCCATGCCCTTCTGAGCCAAGTTAGAAAGGAATAGACAAAAACAACACGTAAAGTGTGGAAAGGATCAAGGGTATAGCCATCACTTAAACAAGAAACCTAATGTGTCCATGTTTCAGTGACACAGAAATGTCACAACAGAGCATGTCAAACAGAGCATGTCAAAAGAAGACACTTTTGCTTCTATCAGAGCAGCTCAAGACTACTACTACAATGGGACATTCACTGATAATAATAATCAAGGAGAACAGACCCAGGTTAAGTTCAAGCAGCAGACACTCTTATCAGGGATGATAATTTACCCTTCAAGAAGACGCAAGAAGTTTACATACTTTTGGGCACAGATGCTTCAATACTCAGTAAATGCTTCAGAGTCAGTGGATTGATAGCTCACAGTTAGAACTTATTCTTCTTTTCTAAAATCAGTTTTGAATTAAGATAAATTTTAAAAATTAAATGAGTGGAATAAAATTGTAAGGGTAAAATAGATTGACTTTAAACAAAAATGTAGTAGCCAGCTACCATTCAAATTTGATGTAACGTGGACATTGTTCTAGATTCCAAGGGAAGGATACTGTAAGATGCATGATTTACATTTCCCAGGACTTGTTTTATTCCACGGAGCCTGTAGAGTCTTTTGAGGTGGACATACTAAAACTGATGACATTTAATAGACCACAGTCTGCAAAAAATACTAAAATTCAGACATTTTTCTTCAGAATAATTATTTTTTTACTGAAGCAAACAAAGGCCTAAGAATTTTTCTATAAAGTTCATTTATGGCTTATAATCTTTTTACACAGTAAATTCCACAGAGAGAAAGTTTTCACAGCCTAGGAATTACATAATTTCCTGCTTAACGCCCATTTAAAAACCTTAAACTATTATTAGCAGACTACATTTTGCAGGAGGACAGCTCTCTGTGAACCTCATCACTGGATGGCTCATTCTCCCCTTACACTCCTTCTTCCTAATAACAGTAATTCATTTACAATCAGAAGTATGTAAAATGGCATTTCTCTATTATACACAAATAGGCTCTCATGTATTACTGCACCACTCATGATTCTGGGTCCTCTAGACTTTTCCAATAAGCTTCTCTCTTTAGGCATTTCCATTCTGTCTTTTTTCTTGTGCTCCTTCTTCGTAGTCACAGTAAAGTTTGATTTTGTAATTTATTAACCATATTCCAACACTATATATGTCATTAGAACGACAAGTTGCAGACCAGTTCTCCTTGCAACAAGTTAGAAAGCATTCAAGCATCCTTCTGAAAGTCCTCTTTATCCCAGTGGCTGAAAATTTGTTTATTCACTTTGGAAGGGAAATCTCAATGATCTAGTTGCAGAAGTATTCAGCTCTAACAGTTACATAAACAAGAACTTGAAAATCCCTAAAAATGCATTCCTTATGTTCATACATCATAATTACTCATTTGTTGCTCAATTTAGTAAGAATTCTACTGCTAATCTGCAAGCTTATATTACCCAGTTGTCATAACATTATAATGTCAAAAGGTTGATACCGCTGGTATCTGTAGTGTGTATAAATAAAACACAGATTCACACATACAATACATATGCAGTATATTTAGCATGCATATATAGTCAGAATAGATGATAAAATAGGCCTTTGGTATATATTTTATAGCATAATAGTCCTGTCAAATGAAAGCATCAGTGTGTCAAAAGACGACTTAAAGGTCTCATCTTGCCAACCAGAAACCATGAAAATCCATGAAAGTACCAATTAGATTTTAGGTAAATAGCTGGGGGAGTAAATCCTAGAAACATTGAACTCTTTATACCAATTCTAACACTTAAAACAGGTAAAAATTCAAAAACTTCCAAGAAATTTAAAGCAAGTTAAATTTTTTTTACAGGCTTTTATTTTTGCAGGTTCATACAATCAAATAAAAAACCCATCACTTCATATTCAGGGAATATTTACTCTTCTGAGTTGTTTGTAATTAGGAATGAGGAAAAATTGATTAAAAATTAATTAAAAATACATCCAAATTTTAATTTCTCTTGAAGTTTTGAAATAAACTATTCAGATACTTTCTTTGTCCTCCATAGCAATTTCAGTTGTGGCATGGTGTTACATGGTATGTACTGGGCTTCAATGGGCATGTCGACAACAAGAATTTGACTTAGAACAATATAATTTTGATGCAAGTCTTCCACTGTATCCAGTTGCATTATACTGATTTGAGACTCTTAAAGACATTTTGGCATCAGCAAGCAGAATTCTTTCCAGAGGAAACAATTGGAAGCCCCTGTCCGAAAGTCCTCACTGGTTTCCAGACATGGAATGAATTTGCATCCAGAAATTCTGGTAGATCAAAACAGCTTCAGCTGGACACTGAAATATTTGTAAATGCAATGGTAGATAGGAGGAGAGAGGAATTCACGTGATAGGAATAATGTGCAAGAGGGCAATTTTTACTTCCTTTTGGAAAGGAACATGGATTTCTTTTTGGTAACTTCATATGCTGTCCTTGTAACTTGCTTGTTACCAGTCTATCGTCAACATCCTCTTCAACCATCATTTCACTCAGTCTCATACAAACCAATTAACTAGTCTGTCTGCCTGGCAGCGCTTGAGCCTCTCCTCAGTTATGAAAAAACTTCTCTTCACCAGGAAGTATGTAATTCCGAATTCTGTAGTGCAAGTTTGTTGGTCTGGCATTCCTAAGACTTTTCACTGCTTCCTGAATAGAATTCCTGAATTTTTGAAATATTCTCAATTTTCTGCACATATTAAAATGGAATTAGATCCCCAAGCCCTCATAAAATATTATTCGTTAGGAATTAGAATTGCTGGGCAACTATGCTCGAACAACACAAAGCAAAAATAATAAACAATCCACGGTTCTACCAGTTTTCATTTTCAATTAGCAACAGCAATCATCTTCCCTAAATGAATTTGTAGATGTGATAAAATCCCTACTAGTAGTAGACAAAGCCCCTGATACACATCAGTTTTTAAACAGAAAATACTTTCAGAGATACAATTAGAGAATGACCATAGTACT